GGTTTTCTACATTTGCGTTTTATAAATATGACTAAACATATTTACAATATTACATGATTCTTATATTATTATTTTGAAAACCTGATTTGATGTGCTAGAGAAAAAAAAACAAGGACAGATTGGTAATCAGCAAACTAATGTTTCCTGCCCGAGTCATATTTAAATTAACATTTTAACCTGTGGTTTTATTGTTGACAGAGAAGTTATATTATTTCCAACAAGTTCACTCGAGATGGAAGCAATCTTTATACCTGTTATTAGCTTTGGTTTTCTCCAGTTGCTCGTTTTGCCTGGCATGCCACTCCTCAAGTTCCACCTTGGCCTTGGTCTTCCACTCAGTCTCTTGCTTGCGAGAATTATCATCTGGCCAGGGAGGTAAGCGCAAAGAGATCAGATTTAGAAAGGAGATTTTACCAGACTCTTAAAAAATCTGCAACGTTTGGAAGGATTTCACTTGCTTCAGTCCGACTTTGACTCCTCGGGTCATATAACAGAGGATTCTGGAATAAGAGGAGGTAATCCACCTATCTGACCTATTCAGTGCCAACAATGTCCCGAATGGACTGGTTCTTGACAAAGCAATCTGTGCGGACCATCTTGTCAATGCTGCCACATTATTAGCAAATTACGAGACATCCCTTCCCTGAGGAGGAACCTAGTGATATGGGGACCTTCATGGACAAGGTACATGATGGGAAGATTGGAGCCATGAACAAGAGATCCAGTCGATGAAAACCTGTAATCCGGGTGCAATACCATTACCGGTACATGGTAGGACTCAAAAGATTTGAAGCTGCTGAGCATGGTCAATATGGTACACAGCTGTTTTGTCAGCTCATGAAGCATCTGGAAACCTGGCCTGCTTACAGTGATCTACAAATACGTTTTTCCTGCTTACAGTGATCTACAAATACGTTTTTCAAGGTTGATGTATACTAACACTAGTCCCACTCAAAATTAATCAATATTTTAATAATCATTTTTGTCCAAGCCATTGCCCGGTGTTTTGCTCTCTCTTCCGGTCAAGTCCCTCTTACAGCCACTTAGGCTGCTCCAATAGCCCTCAATGGACGTGAGGGCTTATTAATTAGTTCCTCAAAAAACTAGGAAATGGGTGTGAGCAGCGGAGTTCCTTGCTGCATCGTTGTGAGTCAATCAGATGACAGTGAGGACACAGCCCCACTCGGCACCAGACGGCCTGCTCTTCAGAACCACCTCCAAGATGGTTCTGAAAAGCAGCTACATTGTACCCGCTTGGCCCCCAAAAAAGTCTAAAAGAAAAGCGACCACTCTGAGCCAAGCAAGGCTCCATATGGAACCGGGTTAGTGGAAAAGTGGCAACTGAGTACATTTAGCACACCTTAATCGGGTTACTGACAGAGATGCATACATACCTTGCACGCAAATCAGTCTTTGGCTAAACTTTTGTCTGCCCCAACTATTTATTTCCCATTCAATAGTTCAACACAGATCAAAATTCGGTTTCAGTTGATTCACCCTTTCGTGCACCCTGTAACCTGAATACATGACAAGCTGTCCACTGTAGTAACCGCTGTCCCTGAAAGGGTTAAATGCAATAATTTGGTCTTCTTTAGTGCAAAAACTGACAAGTTGTCATTGAGGATAAAGTGTCCCTTGTTGCTGTTTTGTTAAGTGTTCCACTGAATTACACACACCTGGGCTGGAACTCACACCATGTAATGTAATTGAGCTGCTCTTCTTCTGTGCTTACCAAGCATCTCCAGTCTCTCTCTTTGTTCCTCCCTCCATTTGCGAAGACTTTCAGGTTCTGCCTGCAGGCGATCTGCGTTGGAAATTGCTGCATAGGCATCGGATGGGCCGTTGCTTTCCTACGAAACATTACAGACATCGGAGTGATAACCGGTATCTCTTACAGTTCTGATCGCTCAAACTATCACCTCAGAGTGGCAGAGTTCATTCTTGCAGTTTTTGTCCCTTTGCATCAGTGCATTTTTCAAAATGTACGCTGTTGGCTTTCTCTAAAAACAATATCCATGCCATTTCTTGTTCTTCTCTTACAGGCCAAAGGAAGTCCTGACAGTGCAAAAGGCAGCAATGTTGCAATGACAGCACAGGAAAGGGAAATCGGGAAGGTTCTAGCAGCAAGATGATTTAAAACAAAGTTTCTGAAAGTACATACAGCAGTATAAGTTTTACCTTATGAGAGTGAAAGTAAATCTTTGCTGATCTGTCGTTGCAAACTAAGAATCAAGAATTAAAAAAAAGCCGTACGTGTGATAATCTGAAAATAATATAAAGACTAATTACCCCATGGAACTCTCCATTGACAGCACCATCTACAAAGACAGCGAGAAAGGTTGCGTTAGAATTCAAGCAGACAGTGTTCTTTAAAACCTAGATCACGTCTGCAGAAATATGATCAGTTAAGTACAAAGTTCAATGATGAGGGGAAAAAAACTGAAGACCTTGGCCAGGGCCACTACAATTAAATGTAAGGCTTTCACTAATATGACCGTTAGGGCTCAAGGTTCAACGACAATACATATAACATGACATTTAGGGACCGTGAAAGCAGACTAAAGCTACAAATTCGTCAACATTGACCTAAGAACATTTAGCAAACTTTGACGGGCAGATTTAAGGATTACGTGGCATTTTTCCACGATAATACATTTTGGAAAATCTAAAAAAAAAACACGCCTTTTTTAGTAAATATTTCTTTATTTAGTATAGCCACTGGGACGTTCATGTCGAGGCGACATCGTCGTCCTCTTGTTGGCAAGCAAACCCTGAAGTCACACAGCTTCATTCATTCTTTCATTCATGACATTCAATATTACACGATGCCATTCAAACGTCAGTCATGATTAACGTTTCTCTCTTTCGCAGTGTTTTGTGTATATGATTGTACTGTATTCTTCTTCTTCTTCTTCTTATGTTACAGTAGTGTGTTGTCAGGGGTCAGGTTAGCTTAGCACAGCTAGCTGTGACCGGGATAAACAAAATCTAGACTAAAAATAAGTTCGGATCTATGCTAATGTCTGACTGCAAGAAAACAACTGATCAAATGTTATCAAGGATGTGAGAGCAAAGTATCCTCAACTGACTGCAGCGGTCACCCACCGTTAAAATCTCCCAGTGACGAAGGGACATCTCCACCGTCTAAGATGCTGAAGCCTTCGTCGTTTTCAATCCCCGCGATTTCGCTCTCCTGTTGGGCCAAAAACGCCGCAGCAGGGTCCTCCTCTGAGCCGACGCCGTTTCCAGCAGCGGGTGCATTGAGCATGTCAAAATCATCCATATTGTCTTTTTATCTGGCGGAAATGTAGAAATCTTCGGCAAGTGTAGATAGTGGTCAAAGAGCGGTTAGCTGAAAGAGAAAGACACACAAGAAAAAAACGGAGCTTATTAAAAAAAAAAAAAAAACGGAAACGGACTGGTAGCAAATGAAAAGCCATGAAAAATGATTGATTGGATCAAGAACCAATTGAAAAAGCCCTGCCTTCAACAGTCTCCAATCAAATACGAATGCCCACCCCGATACAACGCTCGTGACCTGTACGTGCTGTCACAACTTCAATGAAAAAATAAAAACACATTCTTCAATACTTGTACGATCAAATCCAGGAAGTATATAATCATCAGTTCCACTATTATTTAGCCAAATTATTATTTGTGCCCAACCACACGCCCGTTTCTATGAAATCTGTAATAGAAAATATTTTATAAAACGTTTATTCATTATAAAGTTAATAATTCATGCGTTACTTCCTACTTTAATTACATTTAAACCTACTGCATACAAATGCCCCCGCAGATTGGCATGTCAAACTGGAACTCACATTCAATTTTGCAGATTTAGCCCATTCTTAATACTCGAGGTTAAAAGCCACAGAAACAATAAACAATTAGCTCGAGCCCAAGAATAAAGTCAGTGGTTAAATATTTAACTGCCCCGACAGTGTCTTATTGTTCAGGTGGAAGGCACCGCATGACTCAAGTACCGAGTTTCTTTTTCAACTTGTCTGCAAATGAGATGATCATGTTACAAAATGTGTTTCCAGATTATCAAGGAGAAAAACAATAAAGGTCAATCACGACAGACCTGACAAATATTCTCTTTATTTAAGTATACAGTATATGTTATTGTGTAAAACAGGACATTGCAGAGGTAGTACAATGGCCAAAAATGTTGATTCCAACGCCCAGTTCTGCTTTCGTGAAGTGTCCTAGTCCTTGACAGTGTGGTTCATGAGCTCCATACTAATAAAATTGTGTGATTGCAGCAACATTATTAAATTGCTACATTGAAGGTAGAAGGTAAGCACTTTAAATGTAACATTCATTGTGTATTCACTTGGACCATAAGCCAAGAAAAAACACACAAACACACACAAAAATGGAAGCACATTGGATGTCGATTATAATGAATAATACATACAATGTGTACCACTGCAGCCATTTCCATCATAGCAACAAAAGTATTAAGTTTCAGTCACAACAGTGTTGAGCAAATAATTTATGAATTAATTTATTAAAATTTTAGGCTAATTATCACTGAATCCCTGCGATTGGCTGGCAACTAGTTCAGGGTGTCCCTGCCTACTGCTCGAAGACAGCTGAGGTAGACTCCAGCACGCCGGCGCACCTTGTGAGGTTAAACGGGTTAGAGAATGCATGGATGGATCACTGAAGCCTTTGAGACCACCAACTAGGATATCTATCTGTATTTCCAAGTCTTCAAAGAATGATTGCTAAGTATACATGGAATGAAACTATATGATTTTATATCGTTATCATCTCAGTAGAAGATGAACATTTGTAGAAAGGTGAAATAAGAAGCAATGGAGAAACAGCTAAAAATTTGGTCATGAGAAAAACACGTTTTTCTAATGCATTAATTCTTTTACATACCTAGCCAATTCACGCTTGGTGTATGTTTTCATGCTATAACTAGCATTACTATAGCATTATTGTCAAAGTCATTTTTCAATATTTTTGGAAGTCAAGAAAAAAAATTAGAACACATATTGGTATTTTTATTTCATTAAAATTGGAACAAAAACTGATGGGTTAACAAATAAGCGAAATGAAAGACACGCAATAAAAAAAAATACCGGTGTGTTCGCAAAATCGTTATTCCTCCCCCCGTCCCCCAAAAATATTGAAAAATAAGTAGGCGGTTATCCTGTGCCCGTATGTGTGTGTATGTATATATAGAGTGTGTGTGTGTGTGTGTGTGTGTATATATATATAACATTTTTTTAACTGCTTTTTTTTTTTAAACCAGGGAAATCTAATAAGATTTGATCTGATTGAAGAATACACAATGGATTATCCACGCAGGAATCCGGCTAAACATTAGTTTGGAATGGATGAATTGTCAACAAGTGGAAATTTTTTTCCACTTTGATAAACACATCATATGCCAAAAAGTAAATACATTTTTCAATTAAATAAACTAAATGTGGAAATATTAACATATCCTGGGAACAACTTTAGAATGTTAGTAAATCAAGAGACAAGGACTGCAAATCCTTTTAATAAGTCCTTCTTGTAGCATAGTCTAACACCATGCTCGCAGCTCCTAGTAAAGCGGGTTCTTCCAAGTCTGACGTGACCACCTTGGTGCTCTGAGCCGGTAAGAGAGCTCTACTAGCAATGAGGTGCTTCACTGGTTCTTCGTAGATCGAGGCTAAGACACCGGATAGGATCACAAGTGAGGGGTTGAGTGTATGAAGGATGTTGATAATGCCCACACCCAGTGCCGTGGAGGCTACAGAGAAAGAGAAAAAAACAACTCATTTTGAGGAATGGATATTAACTTTGCTTACAACACACACACTCCTATCCCACAACAACTGATGGCTATAATGAGATTACTTTGTAAATCAGGAAACCATTGCAGTTTTTTTCTCATGTGTATTATGTGCTCATTTAGGTACTGACCCTTGTTGAGAACAGCGACAGCTTTGGCGTTCCCCAGTCTTGCTGCGTTGATGAGGTGAGCAGCAGTGATGGGCTCAGAGAGCTTCGTCGTCAACCCTTCCCCTTTAAGCAGTTCATCTGAAAAACATAACAGTAGTTCGCAGATTTTAATCTTGCTGAATTAGGTTCTTATTTGTATGTATGGGTGTAATGTCATGCCAAATTCCACCCAAATATGACCTCCATTTGGAAGCAATTAAAATACAACGAGGAAAAAAAAATGTACTTTAACTTTTTAAGATTTTGACGCTGTCAAATTTCTGTCAACATGTTATTTATGTTGATGTAAGATCTTATTCCATTTTGCTACCTTGAAGTCACAAGGAAGGGAGACATGGAAGAAACTTTTAGTTATTAAGATTCCAGGTTGCAGCTGTTCACTCGCTGACTTTGCAAATGATGAAGAACGCAAGTCTTGTTGAAGGTCTGCACTTTCACTTTTTTCGCAAAATTGCAAATGGGCAAATGCTGAACATTTAGGAAGCCTCACCACATTCAACAATGAGTTAAGAGTCAAACATTCACCCACCATCATTCATTTTCTTGGCCTCTCTCTGCAGGGCCAGTCCAGAAGCATAAGCCTCGATGCATCCTTGGCTTCCACACGAACACTCAGGGCCATCTAATGACACCATGATGTGACCCAGTTCGGCACCGCAAAAAGTGCTGCCATGGATCAGCTCGTTGTGCTGGATAATCCCTCCTCCAATGCCTTGCACAGTACAAAATTGCAAATGAGTAGGATTAAACTACATTTACTGTGTCAATGCAGTTTCAACAATTAAGTAACATAACTACACGTGTGTGTGTGTGTGTGTGTGTGTGTGTGTGTAATAACGTATAATAAGCAGTATTTCATTGAAAAACATAAAGGTGCCATTCAAGAAACAGATCGGTTTTGGATTTTTGTTATTTTAGTGTCATATTTGGTTTGGATAAATCTGAGTGTTTGTTTCATGCAGTTAACTATACCTAACTCATTTTTTAAATGAATATTAAGTTATCTATTATCGGTATTAGCGGTGAGAAACAGGAATTCATCAGTATTGGCGTTAAAAAATATATATTGTGCAACGCTATAAAAAAGGAAAACAATTGGTCATTTGTTATTAAGTGTAATTTGTTATTTTTTTCTGTTACATTCATAACTGTTCTTTAATCAAGCAAAAATATAGTTTATCTTAACATTTGATAATTCGATTTAATTACTTTTCATTCGGATCCTTGGAAGACTAACGTATTCAATAGCTGCAACCCTACATTCAACTCCCCCGTAGTTTTTGAAACCCTTGCTTCAGGTCCATGAGAATAACTTGCAAAAATTGCTCCACCAAATTTGAATGTTGCTCCTCAAATGAAATCACTAATTAGCAAAACTGCTCTCAAATGAAAAAGTAGGTACAGTATGTCGCTAAGTAGAGAGACACATAGATCTATTTTTTTGTGTGTTTTGGTGGCAAACAACCCCCCGTTTGTTTGTTTTTTTTTGTAGAAAATGCATACAGTATGGGGAATTTATCAGCATTTTTGAAGACTTAATGGGTTAAAAAAAATAAAATAAAATAAAAAAAATTCCAATGCATTTCAATGAGTGTCAGTTATATGCGGACTACCGCCAATCGCGTGCTGTCCTGGTCCATATCACCTGCGAATAGCGGTGGTCCACTTTATATACAATAAATAAATACTGGAACGCCAAGCAACCCTGCAACTGTTGTGACATGAACTGGTGACTGAGTTTTACAAATTCCGACTGATTACGATTCCCAAAAGTCATCTGAATGTGATTGGATAACTAACTGTCCGAATGTGATTGGAAGAACTATTTGGGGGTTGGGGCCTCTGCAATGGAGGACGGCAGGGAGTGAGTGACCAAGCGTGTGTTTGAAGGCTCACACAGCGAGTTGACATCGGACAAAAATGATTCATGAAGTCATCCATTATTTTACATCATTGTTATCTTCATCACCTGATGACTAACGACAAAAAATCTGAAGTTATTCAACTTCTTCTATTTTACCTGCTTTAAAGCAGCTCTTCTGAGTCTTTACAAATGAGTGAGTAAACACTAGGGCAACTCACCTGTTCCTGTGATCACAGTGACAAAGTTCTCCACTCCTTTTCCATGACCAAACTTCCTCTCAGCTAAGGCTGCACAGTTACCGTCATTGTCCACCCAGACGGGTAGGTGAAAGGCATCTGAGATGGGTGTCCTCAAATCCACAGACGTCCACTCCCGGATTAGCTTTGTTGAGTCCAGTACCACACCCTCTTCTGGATTTACGCGTCCGCCAGTGGATACTCCTGTCATGGAAACATTTGACAGAATTAGGTCGTTTTTATTTTCCCACAGCATAAACTCGTTTGTTCTTTTTTTCCATATAGTGCTGTATACTGTAGTTTCATACCAACACCAAGTATCCTACAGTTGAGAGACACTGCATCTTGCATGGCATTTTCACACATTTTCAATATGAGCTGCATCCTGGGCTCAAAGGTCTTTGGATTCGGTTGAGTATATTTTTTCACTACAATTCCCTTGATTGGACAAAGGGAACAAAGAGAAGGGAACAGGCAAAATAATGTTTCACTCTCATCATTTCCATGAAATAGAATCAATGAAAACTAATAAGGGTCTATTCAAGATGAGGCTGAGCAACTCACCTGGGAGCAGACGATTGCTACTCTGAGGTTGGTCCCACCAAGGTCCACAGCCAAAGCACTTTGTTTCTCCAGGATGTGATCAATGTCTTGAGATATGGAGTCTTTCACCAAAGGGAAGCAGAAAGTCTTCTGAAGGGGCTTATTCAGGTCAATAGATTGTAAGAACTTGACAATGCGAGGGACGGCGTTTCCATCACCATAGATCTTAGAACTGGAAAGGTTGGAACATTGAGAAGAAAACTGAGTGAATGCAAAGCCTTTGAAATGAAGCGCTTGATGGAGGTTGGTCTTCCTTATACTGGGTGTGCCATTCGTTTCAAATCAACTTAAAGTTTCCAAATCCTATTATGCAGTTTTGACACTGAATTAGCATATTCTTAACATTAGTCATTAAAAAAATAATAATAACACCAATCTGTGTACATAAACATCAAGGCTCGACAAGAAAAAAAATTTCTTTATGGAGCAGTTTTGCAAATCAATGACTTCATTTGAGGAGGGATTTTATAACTTTATAGCGCAATTTTAGTGTATTTTTTCCACAGGTTGAACCCAGCGAAAGAAGCAAGGGTTTTATGAAACAATAAAAATATGACCATACAACGAATGAACAATTATTGTTTTTTTTCCCCTATGGTTTACTCTTTGCCGCAAATTGCGTTTCACTGGCAGGCGCGCCAGCGGAACAATTGGGTGAAGCTTAACATCAAATAATGCAGCTATCCAAGTAATTAGAACATACTAAAACGGACATACTAAAATAGATACATTGCTGCTATACAGCAATTGTAATCCGGATTTGGAGTTTTTTTTAAATCATAATAAACATGTTTGCCGATGCTGAAAGGATTTTTGATGACTTTCGGATTGTCACTGTCACCAAAGTTCAATTAGAATATTTAATAAAAGTGTCACCATTTATCATTGCTGCAGTACTGTGGAGGAAGATATATAGTTAAACTCTCAGCACTAATACCAGATGTGACTGTAAAGTGGTCTAGGGTTCTAAGCATGATACATATTCTCGAACACGTAAAGGGGACTGCTGTTTTCAATAAAAACGTAGTCTTACCAGGGGTATCGCTTTCCAAACTGCAGTTGCAGAGCATGGTAGATCTTATTATGCGAGTCAGCATCCCTCACATGTAGAACATTTTCACCTAGCAAAGGGGGAATTCAAATTTTGAAGTCGAACAACCCATTAACATTTGATCGTCCAATAGAAATATGGTCAGCAAAATATGGACAGCAGGGGCCGCTAGAGACCCACATTCACATCGAGGCGTTCTCACCTGTCTCTCTGCCTGTTTGTCTTGTTCCCAGGTTGACGACCGGTGTGCCAAAGGCCCCGGCCTCTCGCACACCGCAGCTGCTGTTTCCAATCATGCAGCCGGCGTGGCACACCAGTTGGATGAACTGCTCAAAGGGAATGTGCTTCACTGCCCGGAAGTTGGGATGTGTCTCAATGCTCTTTTTTCTCATGACACGCACCATTTCCTTACTTCCTGTATACAGGGTGAGTCAAGTCAAGTCAAGTACAACTTTATTGTCAAATGTGCTGTATGAATTTCTTCCCTCTCAAGACAACATAAAACAAGAGGAGCGCCTGCGGGTGCCCGCGCCGCCATCAGTATCACAAAATGTATCAAATATATGATCAAAAGATTGAGCTAGACCCCTTGGTCCTACCCATATCAGCATATCGGACAGACTGGACAATTCACTTCTTCCTATAGTGTGGAATGTGTTTAGGGAATTCCGGTTCTTTACTGTTCCAGCATGCCTGTGCCCCCAGTCTACAAACCAAGCTCTGTTTCAAAGTGTTTTGTGTAGGAAAACGTCAGTGATTCTCAAGCCCTGACAAGGGATTTGGCACGTTTGTTGTGAAACATAATAAAACATGTTTGTTTTATGAAACTGTTAAAAGGTTAAAAAAAAATACTCAAAAAAATATAATGCACAATAACCTTACAATACGAACCGGCATCAATGTTGGGAAAGAGGATGAGGGTCTTTTTATTGAAGGAGACAAGTGCGTCCAACATGAGTCCATAGATCTTGATAGAGTGCTGAATATCAGTGGTGACAGGGTGCTGCAAAGCCACAATGTAGTCATGATCCTTCACGTCGTCTCCTGCAGAATGTAAAAAAAAAAAAAAACAAGAATGACCTAACTTGGTTTGTGTGTGACTTTCTACTGCTGTCTTACAACAGTTCAGGGTTCCTACACACATGAGATTTCAAAATTCGATTATTTTTCCAGACTTTTACGAAAAACAATCTCTTGTGATGATAAGCAGTTTGGATAAAGGATGGATGGATATTCACTTTTTTAAATTCTTTTTTTTAAGAGATCAAGGCTCTTGTAGGAGTCTTGTAAACATGAATATATTTCCATAAAATGTTTTCCATATTTTTCTATTCCTTGAGATTTAAGAAATCAAATTCCATACTTTTCAAAACTTGTGTCGGAACCCTGACAGTTACAGTATATCTAGAGTGTCTGACATACCCAACCAGCTCTTGATGATATCCAAATAGACTTCCGAGTTATGAGGTGACAGCAGCTTGTCATAGGAGGGACAGCCAGCCAGTAGGATTCGAGAGTGGTCCTCACACATGGAAATGAGGTGTTGCTCTGCCCTCCGTGTGCAGCAGGCATGATAATGGGCCAGTTTACTGATGGCGTGGCGGATTGAGTCGTCAATTGTGCCACTCACCTGGGAAGTGAGCCAAGACGAGACTTCACATCATGTTCAATGGACACCGGAACAAAATGTTAAAACCTTAATTGTAACTCTATAGAAAAGTGAAAATAAATTATATTCATTTTATTCAGTTCTTCACCCCAAAAAGTGAGTTTTATTCATGACTGATGTCCTAAGATAGCAGGTTTTAAGGGTTTTGCATTATTTCGCATGCTTAAGTTTTGAACAGTGAAATGAAAAGAAACTCCCTCAAGGTCAGGTATTTTAATTCATCCGTGATGTGGAAGTTGCTAGAAACACTGCCAGAAATATTGCCAGGGCATCACAACAAATCTCAATGGTCGATGAAACTGCGCTGGCAGAAGGATGACTTATTTCTTACTTATTTGTAACTGCACATACAGCTTGTTTAAAAGTTTAATTTGAATCTTTATATTCATTTATATGTGAATACATTTGGATTGATTCATTCATTACAGACAGCTGTTTTCATATTCTTAAAGTTTGAGAACCATTCTTTAATATAATGTTACAATGTTTTGCTTCCAGACAAGAATATTAATTATGAATAAAACCTCTGCCTATTTTTTTGATTCACACTTAAGCGTACTACGCTACTGTATTTCAATGTAACTCATGATGGTGGTACTTGGAAAGCAAGGAATTCTTTTGGTAAGAAGTTGGACAACCATTAGCTTATTAAAAGTCCGCTTAGTTATTCATTCACTTCCTTCTCACCTCTCCTCCCTCTAAGTGAAGTATCCTAATGTTCATCAGTGCAGCAGAAGTTGCTAGAGCCAGTGCATCAAAACGATCTCCATGGATAATGACAAGATCCGGGCGCAATCTTTGTAGGACATCTGGAAGTTTGACCAGAGCAAGCCCAACACTCTCCACCATGGCTGCCTCATCCTCCCCTCGAACAATTGTGTGCAGTTTGGAGCTGATGTCAAAGTCATCCTGCTCAATCATACGAAAAGTGTTCCTATGACACAGGCAGAAAACAATGTTTAAATGGCTGTGGTGGTCAGTGGACCCTTGCATATTTGCGGTTAGGCAATGACGAATTCACCTAGTCGTGGATTAGTTTGGAACCTTTCTTCCATGGTTTAAATAAAAGCTCGCCCATTCGTGATTTCCTGTAATGCGGGAAAAGAGCGAAAACTTTTTTTGCCCATTTCGTGCCACATTATTTTAACCACGCTTCCATCAATGCTAAATGATAGTTCTTCACCACTATTTTAAGACCGTCAGATCATCATCTTTACTTCTGCGACGTCACATTGGCGACAGCCATTCAGCGTCAAATACGAACTAATTACTGGATCATACGTAGGCACAGCACAGGAGGCACTCGTATTAGTACAGGAAATTATAATCACTTTAAGAGTAGCATCAATTGTTGGCATAAATGTGATTTTTGCAGTTAGGCTCGGTTCCTACTCCCTCAACTCGAAGGGGTCCACTGTACTTCTTAAGGGGTGGTGTGAGCGGTGACATATCTTTTACAGTCTGTTGTGTAGTTAATGCACAAGAAAATATACCGCATAGCTTTATTTTAGGTGTATATGGTAGGTTGCGTGTGTATCTTACCCGTAATCATCGATGAGATGTGAACCGAGCACGACTACATCCAGCTCAAAGTCATCAGGGTGGGATTTGATCCCAAACATGATCGGGGCCAGTTTCGAGTAGTCAGCCCTGTTGCATGTCGCCACACACACCCTCAGCCTCTTCTTACACTACAGCAATGCAAATGGGACAGCCGCGCACATCATATTAGTTGACGTACTAATGTGATTTGGAGAGTCGCAGCATCTTGTGGTACACAGTGTACGTGAAACAGAGTCAAAGTGGCAAAATGGCAAGACTGTTCTCCTAATTTAGTTTTAACAATGCTTGTCAGGCCAGAGGATTTCAGAAATTCACAGAAAACGTTTTTTGGTTCCGTTGGATCACCTAATGGGAAACCACGGTAACTTTAATTTTGGGTTCCATAAACATTCACCATGGGAACAAATTTTTCTATTTTGACTGATATTCATTATCAAGAATTCTGATATTCAAAAGTATAAAATTTAAAGGGTAAATGTTTGAAAACTATGCACTAACAATGAACATAATTACATCAGCAGCTGTGTACTCCAGGTTTATTCAATAAAATAAATGGATCAAAATATGTTAACACTTTTAATGTATTCACATGGCATCACGAATACGGCATACCACATTATCAGCGTATTTTTTTCCAGTCTCATGCTGCAAAGATTAATTTACTAGTAATCATTAATATATCAATTACTGTGAAATACTATGGCCATCAGAAACACAGATGTGAACACAATACTTCAGTCCTGGCTATATATCACGGGCCACAAGTAAACCGGACACTGTTAACATGATTATACGTGTGTGTGTGTGTGTGTGTGTGTGTGTGTGTGCGTGTGTGTGCGTGCGTGTGTGTGTGTGTGTGCGCGCGCTATTTCTGTAAATAAACATCAGTGGCTACTCACCCCCTTTATTAATACAAAATCATGTAATAGGAATTGAATTATTAAAATCCTGTGATGAATCATTATCTTATAGTCATATTGTTTGGTTCTACATTTGCCCAGAGAGAGGAGCGTCGGCGCAGAGCGCCGATGCATATTTGGAACTGAGAGTCGCTGCTTGGAACTGAAATGGATTTACATGGGACAGGAGAAGTGAATCAATCTCTTTTTTTCGTCAATGGATGCTACAGCTTCTTGTTGACTTTCAAATTTAGCTTGCAGCCGATATGTGCACATTTTGAGCATGACGTCGCTGATCCACAGGTGAAAGGACACTTTGTCGCTCCTCTTTCATTTCAAACTGTTTTAAACAACAAAGCATATGAGGTAGATGTGGTTAGGATTGCACAACTGTCCGTGTTGTGTGTGTATGTTGTGTTTATTAATTTACTTTATGTTAACTGTTTTGTTCAGCGCTTTGTTACAGCTGCAGCTGTTGTGAAAGCGCGATATAAATCAGGCTGTATTGTATTGTACTGTATATCGTATTGACATGGCTTGACGTGCTCTTTGCAACCCCAAGACGACGCACTGTGTCATCTACTATTAAAAATTGACTAAAGAATCTACCATATGTCAACGTTAGGCCTTACCGACAGTTATTACTATACCTTTGTGACGAATGTTTTATTTATAAAGTTACCATGTCTACAACTAGTAAATTATAGAATAACTAATACTGTTTCATAATATTTTTAAAGCGAATAGCCTTTAGATCTAATGACCAACTTCAATACTTGCCTCGGAATCGTGCCTTCCGTCGAATCTCTCTTTCGTGTTTTTTTTTTGCGTACGTCACACGTGATCTTAGTGATACGCCTTTCTTCGGATGATTCGGATGAAAAATCCGACTGGCATTCGCATTTCTGAAACGTCATAAGGTGTTTTTTTTCGCCGCCATCTCAATCCGCCGTTGGCGCACTGAGACACCAGCACACTATCTCAGCTCGCGGACTAAAATAGCAAAAATTTTCTGTTCTCACCCCACCCGCACCCCCTCCCCACCTCACCCCCTGCGTTGATCACACAGGAGAGATTCGATCGTGTACAGTCAACTAGTGCGCGGTGATTTTTATGGGAAACGATTTTCGGTATGTAAAAAATTTTTACATACCGAAAATCGTGTATTTTTTACTAAAAATGATCCCACGGAAACGACACACTCCCGGTAACGATTGTTCCTGTGAAATCCTCAGGCCTGCTTGTTAACGATGAGGTACCACATTGATTAAATATGAGCATTGTGTAAAATAAGCAGTTTGCTGTTTAAATAATCTGATTCACCTGATTCAGATGATCCATCTTTTCCCTTTTCATCTTTTCTTTGCTTTGCATCATCTTGTAGTAAAGTTCCTAGAAGAAATCGCAAAGGTGTCACTTCACACACAATACACATTCCAAAAACAATTCTCTGATCCTTCTGGGGTGCCCAAAACCTTTTTTGACGAAGATCTACTTTTCAATCAACCAATCTCCCGCCATCGACCGTTACCACTAGTGATGGGACGAGCGACACTGGTGCGTTAGCAGTAGCACAGTGCCGAGAGCTCAAGAATGAAACCCCGTATCTGTACGTGTATTGCTTTAAGAAAGAATCACGTGACCAAATACAGGAACTGAATCGTTTGAATGTGCTGCGCCAAAGGGTGTTTATAAGGACACAAACTGTCTCAACATGTCGTGGGTTTGTTGGCTGGAGTTTTGCGAAATTATGGATTGTTCTAAGATGTTTTCCCCAGTGTGGAATAATTTTGATCTTGATAAATCTTTTTCTCCTTTGAGAATTGTTTACAGTTATATACAATTTTTTTTTATGGTGGCGCATTGCACCCACTTTATCAGTTTATCAAGTGAATGACCTGTTATACATACGATAGTCAGTTAAAGAGCCTTACAGTTGGCTTTATTCATTTGATCTTATAATTGCGAGATCCTCCATAATTGAAGTCCAACGCTGTCTGTCAGAAGCTAACACACCCAGAAACCAAGACCCTTTACAATATTGGAAATTGAACCAGAAAACATATCCATATCTGCATCAACTTTCATTTAAAACTCTCTGCTCACTATCGCCATCTGAACCATGTGAAAGAGTATTTTCTGAGGCTGGGGAGCTGGTGTCTAAGAGGAGAAATCGCCTTGGAGCAGACACTCCAAAAACTTTTGTTCCTCAATAAAAAAATCATAAACTAATCACTTTTGTCTTTTATTTCACATGATTTAACAAAAATTTTCTACATAAGTTAAAAATCTGAATTGTAACTCAAATTTGCTATATTTTACATACCAACTCAGTTTAGCATTTACACAAACAAGGAATTTCTTTACCTGCAATGATTTTATAACTACTGCAGGGGTCACTATTGGGTGACCAACACAGTGTCAATATAGTGCTGACACAGTTTGTGAAGTGGGTCAATACACTCCTTGAGGTATCATGTCCTATCACTAGTTACCGCGCACTCACCCATGCGAACGCACACAAGCACGCATGCATGCCACAAGGAGCAATAGCCAAAACGGCCCCAAACATGAATGAAACTGAAAAAAAGTAGATACAAGAGTTTGCGAAAAGGAAATCATTGCCTGCCTTATTAGAAACCTGACGCGGAGTCATGGGACGCACTTTTGCAGCGTCTTAAGTGCAAGAACATCATTATTGTGGCTTATGTGAACCGTTTAAAAATGTTTCTCCTGATACTCCAGATTCCCATTCTTTGTCAACGCCATTGGAGAATAGCAGATCAAACAAACTTGGAATGAGAATAATGATAATTAAAAAAAGATATATTGCAACAGCTCTGATCGCGAGCTGCAATTGCAGGCTGCTGACTGCTAACAACTACCAGTGACGCAGATCATGCGCTACCGTAGGTTAAAAGTAACCTGCTTTTTTATTTGATTTTTTAAATACTTTTTTTGTGAAAGTGAGACTAATGGGAAGCAATGTGCACTAACAAAAATATATAATTTTCACAATAAAATGCTAGAATTGATCTTGGTCAGTGGTTGTTAAGATCTAATTTGCTCTTCTTCAGTAGGGGCCTAACCGCTGCTGTTTTGAAGGCAGCAGGGTGAATAGAGCAATTAATAATGCTTAAAAGCTCTCTGACTATGACTCAACCATTGTCCAGGATGGTGAGCAACTCTGCAAAAACAAACCTCGGCCACTATTATACAACAGAACAGGTTGGACCGGATCTAGGACACCCGATAAGACTGGCCAGAACAAAACAGTAACGCCTGAGTTTACTTTCCATCTTCCTGCTGCGAACTTCTGAGCAATACCGGACATTGGCGCTCGTTGGTTTGGAACATGCGTGTTTGGACACAGGAGGGCATCCCATTGTGAGGTCAATGATTAAGTGACGAAAGGTTTTCTTTTCTTATCTTTTCATATCTGATCAATATAAAAGACACATTCATTCATGTTACAGTGTGATTGTTTAGTTACAATTTGATTTTTGAATTAATTATATGGCAGTATGAACAATCATTAGGAATCTAGATGTAGTTCTACAGACTTTAGTCTTAGAGCAATAAAGACTCATCTAATCTAAATAGTTGATGAGGACATCATCCTCCCTCTAGAACAGGGGTGCTCAAATGTCGATCGCATTTTTGTGTGCGTGCATTAGAACTGATGCCGCAAGAGTAAAATGCTAGAAGCTAGTCAAGAAGTTCAAATGCAAATACAGTACACAATCATGTTGTAAGATCACATGGCAGCAGGCATTCATTTTCTAAATATGGGACATAAGACTTTTGGGGGGGAAATGATCTGCTGTGTGCTTTGTTGATTTGTTATTCATTTGTCAAAGGACACACTTGACCTTCCTACGCTATAACAAAAGCATAAATGCAAATCAAGTTGCAACACAATAATGACAGTATGAAGCAGAGGTGCCCAAGTGTGGTCCTCGAGAGCCCCTATCCAGCCTGTTTTAAGGGGTGTTCACACGGCACACATTTGCGCCGGTGCTGCACCGATGTATTTTGTTGCGATATAGCTTACACCGGAGCAAATTTTGTGGAGCGGTCACATGTACAAAGCCGCTGAGCGTGTCAGCACCGGCACAGCCTCGGTGCAGCTCCACTTGCGGTCACACGGCAGTTTCTGCAGCGGAGCAAAACGACAGAAAACAAATGAGCTGTCGTGTTGGTTCTTTTTAAAACATTTTACACAACTCAAGCGACTTCTGTACAGGCATGTCCTTCTCCTTCTCGGTCTCCGTGCCTTCAGCTCGAGAGTGACCGCCCCCGAAAACGTAAATCAACGATGACTTCAATGACACTCAGAAAAGCAAATGTAACCCGGACTATGGCATAAGGCAATGGGGAGTACACATAATCAATTGAAAGATCGTAGGTTCATTCAGAAGTTAAAAAATGTATGTATACATAAACATAATCTATGTTGTTTAAGAGAGTGGCGTCGTTAAAATTGTGTTAAACAGAACCGACTATTGCCGTGGCAAAAGCGAATTAGGGCACAGAATACTAATTAGGTGTCAGCGAATGAGAGGTACCGTTTTTCACCTCCGTGACGTCAAGAGCTTGCAGCGCAACCTATCTCGCTCTCTTTTCTGACGGGGCCTGAACGCGAACGGACGTGTTCTTCGGTTATTGTGAAAGAGGTGTTTCGGGAGAACGAGAGTCATTCTACGCAACCTTGATCACTGTTCCTGGCTAACGTAGCTGTTAGCTTTCCGCACCGCCGGGATTTTGCCGACCGTATAACGACATCA